CAGGAAAGGCGCAAAGCAACACAGAGAAATCCTGTCTCAAAAAACCAATAAAATAAAAGATAGACTAGAGCTGGTGTGATGGTTGGGAATTTTGCAGAGTATAAAGTTAAAAGCTATCCAGGTGTGGTGGCACATGCCTTTAATCCCAGCACTCAGGAGGCAGAGTTCTGAGTTTGAGACCAGCCAGTCTACAGAGTGAGTTCCAGGACAGCCAGGGCTACACAAAGAAATCCTGTTTCAAAAGAAAAAAAAAGGAAGAAGTTAAGTTATGACCATCTATTTACAGTTTAGATTGACAATCCAGAGAAGTTTAAAGTGGGTCCTGGTTGACTCTGGATGTGGAAGAAAGTCATCCTGATTGGCTCTTCTTCCTTGTCTCTTTATTCCATGTATGATCTTCTCAGTGCTAGCTGTTTGGGGATACCAGAAGAAAGAAAAAGAATGTCTTTGAACATTTGCTGGACTGTTTTTCCAAACTGGCATTTTAAATAGTTTTAGCATTATCTTTCTTTTATAGAAATAGTGTTTGAATACCAAACTAGGCATTCTCAACTGTTGATCTATATAAGTAATGAAGTAAAAATACTGAGGAAATTTAAAATAATTTTTCTGTATAATCCCTTTTTCTTTAATTTTTTTAAATGCTACTAAAATACTACTACTTTTAATTTTCCTTCATTCGAGTGCTTTTTTTTTTTAAAGTGTACATGAGTGGGTTTTTTTTGTTGTTGTTGTTGTTGTTTTTTGTTTTAAGTCATTTTGTGCATGCCTGGTGCCCACAGAGGCAGAGGGAGTGCTAGATCCTCTGGAACTGGAGTTACAAATGGCCTTGAGCCACCATGTGGGTTCTGGGAATGGAATACAAGTCCTTTGGAAGAGCAATAGAGGAGGACGCCTGACATTGATTTATGGTCTCTACAGGCTTGCACACCGAGGCACACATATATATACTGCATGAAGACGCAAGTTATCCAGAATTTGTTTACAGGTTACACTTGCGTTGCCCACTAAGATTAAAGGTGTAAAGTCACTTGCTATTTTCACATAGTACTTGAGGTTAGTCTGTCTCTTGGTCAGTTGGTCTATCCTTCCTCATTTATTTGAAATATGAGTAGGTTTCTTGGTTCTGGTTTGCTTTAAATTTTAGGTTTTTTTTTTTTTTTCATGTTCTTTCCATTCTTAGTGAATGGTATACACAACATTAACAATTTTCCAAAAGTAAAATCTATTTTTAAAAAAGTTAATTTAGTTAAGGGTCACTTCATTTGAGATGTGTTCACACTTCTCACCACTTGTAAGGAACCTTTTATTGTCTGTTTTCCTTTTTATAAAAATCACCTGACTTTTTCTTACTCACTTTCCTTGATAAAAAGTAAAATTTGTTTTTTGTTTGAGGGTTTTTTGTTTTTTTGTTTGTTTTAATAATAAAAGGGTCTTACTGTGTCCTGGTCTGACCTGGAACTTACTGTGTATCCCCAAATCCTCTGGCCTCAATCTCCTGAGAGCTAATATTATAGGCCTATACGACCACACCCTACTTATATGGGCTTTCTGTTGTTGGTGTTTTGTTTTTGAGACAGAGTCTTACTAGGTAGACTTGGTTGCCCCGGTTGTTTTTGAGACAGGGTCTTACTAGGTAGACTTGGTTGCCCTGGAGCTTGCTGTCTAGACCATATTGACCTTGACTCAGAGATCTGTCTGTCTTGGCCTCAGAGTGTTGGGATTAAAGGGTGGGTGTCACCATGCCTGACTTAGAAGAGATTTTTTTTTTGTGCTTTGCTTATTTTGCTTAGTAATATCTCTTGGAAATCACTTAGTATTGGCTAATTCTTCAGAGTAGTAATAATGTAAGAACTTGGCTTTAGATTGCTTTTTTTACTTTAGTTGCATTCTTTCATATACTGAGTATTTATATTTAAATTACTTCCTTTTAAACAATTTTTTTTTAAATTTATATTTTATGTTTATGGTTGTTTTGCCTGTGTGTATATCTGTGCACTGTGTGTAAGCCTAGTTCCCATTGAGGCCAGAAGAAGGCATTGGACTCCTGGAACTGGAGTTGCAGGCTGCTGTGAGCTGCTTTGTAGGTGCTGGGAAATCAAACCTGCGTCTTCAGGAAGAGCAGCCAGGGTGCTCTTTACCCTTGAGCCATCTCTTCATCACCCCCCTACTATTTTGTATATGTAGTTTTTCTTTGACTCCCCAGTGTCTGTTGGCCTTTTGTTTTTCTTCCTCTCTTCTTTCTCTTCTTTTCTTTGCTAGTAAGGCACTATGTCCAGACAGACACAGTTATATATTGCAGCACTTTGAACATTCATTTAGACAGACTTATGATGATTGGTGGGAATACATTGCTGTGTTCATGAAATCTTTGTGAATAAGTCTGGGTGAAGTATAGCCAGCTTACTGTTTTTGTCTTTACTATAGTCTTATTTAAAACTCATGAATTTGGTCTTGTTAAAATAAAAATCATGGCATAAAAAGGGTGACACCCTTCTCCCCTACACACACACTTTTAGAAGCCAACTCAGTGGAAAATAGCAATATACTTTTATTCCTGAGATTATTACCTAGAGTCAGTACATTCTTAAAAGAAATAGAATGGGGTCCTGGAAAGATGGCTTAGTGGTTAAGAGCACTGACTACTCCTCAGAGGACCTGGGTTCAATTCCCAGCACTCACATGACACCTCAGAACTGTTTGTAACTCACAGTTGTGGTACCCAGATCTATAAGCAGGCAAAACACCAGTGCTTGTAAAATAAACAATTTTAAATAAACAAAAAAAATTTAAAAAACAAATAAAAATCAGTAGAATGTTTGCATGTTCAAGCACTTTTCTCTGTCTTTGACTTTTTTGCACTGGTGTAAATGGAACCAGGGGCCTTGTGCATGCTAGGCAGGTGCACTACCAGCACAGTTCCAACCCAGGACAGATTTATACCAAAAGCCTGTACTTAGAGCCTGGGCCTTGAGTGTACTTGAAGTCCTAGAGGTTCCTTGAATCAAGGATTTAATAGGTAACAGGCACACAGCTTGTATAGTGGTTGTCTAAGATGAACATGAACAGAGAGCTAGTTTTTAGAATTTATGTTAAATCCACTCTGTGCACATAAGACCCAGAAAATCTGATCAAGTCCTTATGTGAGTTCATAACTTATTTAGATGTGATAATGAATCATTACTTAATGCAAATCTAGTTCATAAGAGTAATGGCAACAGCGGTATTTGGCCATTATTGGGCTAGGTTTTTGTACAAATGCTCTTTATTTTGTGTGTGTTGCACTAAAACAGAAAAATTGCAGTTATAAACAGAATCATTAGATCAGAGATTTGAGGTTTAAAATGACAAAATTCAGTATCAGGTGTTCTTGGAAGGTAAAATGGTATGTTTGGCTTGTCATTCTTTGTTTAATCAGTTTCCTTTTGTAAATAAAGGTTTTATTCCTTCTATACAAATTTAATCTTTTGGGTTTGAATTTACAGGTTTCATTATTTGTGGTTCTGAAATTCAGAATGTTCAAAATAAGAGACTTTTCTTTCCCCCCAGAGCTGAGGACCGAATCCAGGGCGGAGCGCTGGATTCTACTACTGAGCTAAATCCCCAACCCCGAGACTTTTCTCATTTTAAATAAATGATTTAGCAGGACAACAGCCTGTATTTAAGACAATTTATATCTTTTTCTTTCTTTCTTTTTTTTTTTTTTTTTTGGTTTTTTGAGACAGGGTTTTTCTGCGTAGCTTTGCGCCTTTCCTGGAGCTCACTTGGTAGCCCAGGCTGGCCTCGAACTCGCAGAGATCTGCCTGGCTCTGCCTCCCGAGTGCTGGGATTAAAGGCGTGCGCCACCACCGCCCGGCTTGACAATTTATATCTTTATGAACATTTAATGTTTTTGTATTTTTGCTACAGAATTCCCAATTGCTAGTACACTGAACTTCTTGAGACTATTGTGTCTTGTGAGGTAGTACACAGCTACCTTTGTAACATTTCAACAATTTTTAATGTATGGTGTACATTTGGCTCCAGCGGCATCACTTAAATGAGTATGGAACTTCTTCCCGCCTCTCACAAACTGCTTGATTCCCATTGTTAGAGAATTATGAAGCAAGAATGACTAGTATGAGGAATAAAGTTTTGCTAATGAACATGTTAAATATATTAAATAATAGACTTTCAAAACATTTACTTTAAAAAAATATTCATTTACTTATCTTTTCTGTGTGTGAATGTGTGAGAGAGTGTAGGCACATACATACAAAGATATGTTATGTGCAGGTCATGGGACAACTTTTAGGAGTTGGTTCTTGCTTTCTACCTTGTTGAACCAGGTCTTGTTCCTGCTACTGTTATGCCACATACTCTAGGCTAGCTGGTTCTCAAGCTTCTGGGCAGTTCTTCTGATTGTAGAAGTGCTAGGACTCCAGATGCTTGCTTGCTACATGCAGCTCTATATGTGGATTCCGAGACCACTCCACCTGTCATCCTGGTACTGCTAGAACTTGTACTAAGTGAGCTATTTCTTCATCCCCAATAAAGTACTTTATACAGAAAACAGTATCTAATACCAAAATTTCCCATTCCCATTACTTTTAGGGAGTAGATTTGCATTAAGTGATTGCTCATTATTATATCAGAGTAATTTATGAACTCATGGAATGACCCAATCAGATTTTCTGGGTCACACACATATGCATGGGATAGATGAAACATAAACTAGCTCTCTGTTCTTTATGTTCGTTCCTCTTAGACAACTGCTATATAATCTGTGTGCTTGTTAGCAGTTTCAAGTGCTTTCTTCTGGTTGACTTGTTGCACAGAAGAGCAGTTGCCAATTCTGTGCTAAATACCAAAGCAATTCCATCTGACTTAGGCTAGCAAAAGCCTCTTGTTTGGTCTAAGATGTATGTTTATGCATTTCAGTTATTCTATATAAATGACACCTTTGTGTAAGGGATACAAAAACGAGATGGAAGCAGTTGATCTTTTTCTCATTTTACTAGTCACCTACAAAAGCTGTATATAATGCCAGGCATTGGAACCATCCAGACTCAGAAGAACTGCCTGGACCACCAGTAGTAAAACCTCAGAATGTCACAGTAAGTAAAACGTTTTATTTTTCCTCTTTTAAAATAATTTATAAGTTAATCTAGATCGGTACTATCTTAATTTTTATTCTTTCAAGGTTATAATTGAAAAGCTTTGCAAATAAAAACTTTGTAGGAGTTCAAGGCCAACCTGGACTTCATACTGAGACTATTTCAGAAACAAAACAACAACAAAAGACCAAACCAGAGCATTTAACCATGATTCACATTTCATAGAATTTATAGTATTTAGGGTTTAAGAAAAATTATTCCTTATATAAAGTATTTGTACTGATTCTTTGTGTGTGTGGTATTATGTATGTATTTGTGTGGGTGTGTGTGCAGCTGTGTGTGTATGCAATAGAGGACAACTTTCAAGAGTAATTTCGGCTGGAGAGATGGCTCAGCAGTTAAGAGCACTGACTGCTCTTCTAGAGGACCCAGGTTCAATTCCCAGGACCTACATGGCAGCTAACAACTGTCTGTAATTCCAAGTTCTGACACCCTCACACAGACATACCTGTAGGCAAAACATCAATGCAAAAAAAAAAAAAAAAGTTTCTTTTCTTCCATCATGTGGGTTCTGGGGCTCAAGCTCAGGTTGTCAGGCTTGCTTGGCAAGCACCTCTACTTGATCAGCAATCTCACTGGCCCTCTCTGCCTCATTTTGAGAAAGGGTCTCATTGATTTTGGCTAGTTCAGCTTGACTAGTGAGCTTCGAAGATGCACTAATCTTCACCCCCAACTGCTGATGTGTTGTCTTGCTTTACTGCTGTGCCCGGTTATTTTTTTCATTTATTTTTATGTATATATGCTGAGGGTCCAGACTCGGTCCTCATGCTTGCGTGGCAGGCACTTCACCAACTGAGCGTTCGTTCTCCCAGCCTGTTGATCTCAGAACTTACAATAGAGCTAGGCATGATGGTCCATACCTGTAATCACAGCACTTGAAGGCTGAGGTAGAGAATCACTTCAAGTTTGGTGCCTCTGTCTTTTCAGTAATTATTTTATTTTATTTTATGTGTAAGAGTATTTTAATAGTGAAACTTCCAAAGGAATGAGTTGTTATAACATTAACAAAAATTTGGGGGTAGAGTGAAGTCAAGGGCCTCATACATAGACAACTGCTCATCCTCAGTTCCAAGAACAGAACTATAGTATAAGGTTTTCCCTTAAATTGATTATGATGTCCCTGTCATATATGCTTGTATATGTATATTATTTGTGATGCTGAAACATGCTTTGTTCTTGTTACAACTTATTTTTATCCTTTATTGCTTTTAGTTTCCTATGCTTTTATGATTCCTTTGCTGTAGTTTTTCTGAAGCCCTGTCTAACTGCTTATCAATGCTACTCATGCATGCAATTGTGGTTCTTTATTCTCTTAACAGTCCTGGAAGCAAACAAATGATATGAAATGTGACGTTTAAAAAAGCTAAAAGTATTTCTCAAGTGGTTCTTTTGTGTTTGAAACATTTAAATCTTAGTAGTGCATGGAATTTGAATTATCTCTTAGGACCTTTCAGCAGCCTCCCTCTTCTCCCTTCAAAAAAACAAAAAACAAAAACTTCATTTACTTTTTAAAAGCTAAATTTGTCACATAGACAAGATGTTACCTTTTAAAATATTTGCTTAGAACAACTAATTTAATACCTTTATTAATAGGTGAGGCTGTCTTCAAAGGAACCAAATCAAAAAGATGATGGAGTTTTTAAGGCTCCTGCACCACCACTCAAAGTGATAAAAACTGTGACAATACCTACTCAGCCCTACCAAGATATAGTTACTGCACTGAAATGCAGAAAAGAAGACAAAGAAGTAAGCGGCCATATCCAGTTTTACTGCACGTGGATAGATTTCTATGTGTAACATTTAGCCTTTTGTCTTAAACAGATATCACTACACCGATAGCCACATATTTGAACCACAGATGTACCTTGTCCTACTAGTACTAGTGATTTAAAAACATTTTGTTGACATCTAATGAATGATTGTATAGGCTTTTTATTAAAGACAGCGATTTAGATATGCTAGTTCTTAGTTACCAAAGAGGTGGGCTTATTTTTTTCTTGGCAGTTATATACTGTTGTTCAGCACGTGAAGCACTTCAATGATGTGGTGGAATTTGGTGAAAATCAAGAGTTCACCGATGACATTGAATACTTGTTAAGTGGCTTAAAGAGTACTCAGCCTCTAAACACACGTTGCCTTAGGTAAGATCTTAATTTTACATTTTATAATGTTGTGCATGCTCTGTCATTAAAGTTTTTCAATTAGATGGCTTTAAATTTGTTAGTAAAGCTAATTTAAAAAATTTTGTGTCGATAATCAGTGATATGTTAAATGTTTCCTTTTTTCTTTAGTATAGGCTTCAGTTTCCAGATGCTAAAAGAATAAATAGTATACTCAGGAATCTGAGGGTGGTTTTTTTTTTGTTGTTGTTGTTTTTTCGAGACAGGGTTTCTCTGTGTAACAGCCCTGGCTGTCCTGGAACTCACTCTGTAGACCAGGCTGGCCTTGAACTCACAGATCCGCCTGCCTCTGCCTCCTGAGTGCTGGGATTAAAGGTGTGCGCAACCATCGCCCAGCGTGAGGGTGGGTTTTTTTTTTCCCCCAATTATCTCAAAATTACAGACATCAAGTGATAAATTGATTTGAGCAGAGACATGGGTCATCTTTTACGTAAATGTAATAGATTGAATACCTAGACCTGGTTGTATTATTTATAGTGAGTTGGAGTATATCCAATCAAATATAACCACTTCTAGTTTTCATATAATAGCAGCATTATGAAAGATAATGATTTTAATGGTTGTAGTGACTTGAGGAATATACTACAGACATCATGCTATTCATTTTTATAAATATAGTATGTGCCCAGTCACACTCAAAGCCTTGGTACATGTTTGAAAATGATGGTTTACCCATGGTTTTTATCTTTGTGTTGTCAGTACTTTAAGCCTTCTGCTTCTTTCTCATTTGCTTGTTTGGAATTATGCAAACTACAGCTAATGTCCTAGCAATTTTTAGCTGTCCTAACATAATCTGTTTCTTTTTAGTGTTATTAGCTTGGCTACTAAATGTGCCATGCCCAGTTTTCGAATGCACCTGAGAGCACATGGGATGGTTGCAATGGTCTTTAAAACCTTGGATGATTCTCAGCACCATCAGGTATTTTTAAGTTTCTGAGGTTGAGAGGTATTACTGAAAAATTGTAGTCTTTGACTATATCAGAAAATACCTTCATTGGATATTCATATAAATGAATTAAAGTTTGAGTTTATTTGCTTGATGAGTAGAGATGATAACTATACATTTTTGCTTCATAAATCGTGTTTTCTGGAGACATTTTTCTTAAGAAAAGTTTTTGTTATATTTATAATATAAAAGTTTATATTATTAAAATCTTACTCATTTGTCAGCATACTATACTGAATATTTTATAATGTAAGAATTATTTCCTCTATTTAGAAGAATCTTTAAATATTGTTTGATATTAATGGCATGAAAAGGGTTTTGAAATATGGTCATGATTTTAAAATATTTGGTTCATTGTTGGATCTGGAAAATAGCTGCATTGTGAAAAGGAACAAATAATAAAGGTTACCTAACCAAAGTTAGCTCCAGTGTCATCAAAAGTTAGGGAAAAATAGTCACTACCAAACTTACCAGTAATATATTGAGGTGGCCTTGTGTGAAAGGAAATTACAAATTGAGTGACACAGAATTAATACTGATTCTTCTAAAACCCAAAGTAATGTAGTTAAAGTGTGTGAGCATTCCTCTGTACCCAGGTTGTACTCAGCAAAGAGTAACAAGGACAGAAAGACAAGAAATGCATAGTTTGCTTCATCGCCCAGTTAGACTTCACATAGACTTAAGACCATCTTTCCTTAGTGGGTCCCTCAGGCTTTTATTGTGGCATCCTAATTTTCAAAAATGCTTTGTAAAGATTTAATCAAGGGAACTAAAGAGATGGCTCAGTAGTAAAGGATCTGAGTTTGGTTTCCATCCTTGTATTCTTAAGGGCATTTGTCTACCAAAGGCTGACTCAGTTAACATTATTCTAAAACATACCACCTTGAGTATTTTAAGAGCACATTTTGTTAATGCTTTATTAAAAACAGTTACTAGGGGCTAGGAATGTAGCTCAGTTGCTAGCATGCTTGCTTAGCAAGCACGAGGCCCTGGGTCTGATCCTTAGCACTGCATAAACCAGGTATTATACAGGCCTGTAATCCTGGCATTTAGGGAAGGAGAGACAGGAGGACCAAAAGTTCATTATCCTCAACTATACAATGAGTTCAGGGCCTGCCTGGGTTACATGAGATCTTATCAATAAAATAAAACAAGACTGGTGCATGCCTTTAATCCTAGCACTCAGAAGGCAGAATCAGGCTTACCCCTATGTGTTCAAGGCTACCCTGATCTACCTGGTCTACGTAGTGAGTTCCAGGGATACATGGTGAGACCGTGTCTCAAAAAACAAAACCAGAAACCCAACAAACTGACTGTTGTCAGTCCCAGTGGTGCTTATGTTTGGCTCCTGCACTCAGGAGGCAAAGGGCAGTGGGTCTCCAGGCTAGCTTGGTCTCCATAGTGAGTTCCAGGCCAACTAGGACTACATAATGAGACTGGATCTTTTTTAAAAAAGAAGTTGCTGGATTATAACATTTTAAAAAGAAATTAATCCAGTTACATTTGTTTCCTATAAAACAGTGTTTTCTTAGCCTGGCGGCGGTGACAATACACACCTCTAATCCCAGAGAGGCAGAGGCAGGCGGATCTCTGCATTCTAGGCCAGCCTGGTCTACAGAGTGAGTTCCAGGACAGCCAAGGGTACACAGAGAAACCCTGTCTCAGAAAAAACAAACAAATTACTAGTTTTTGAGTGTTTTGCTTGCTTGTTCGTCTGTGCACCAGGTGTGTGCCTGGTGCTGGCAGAGGCCAGAAGTTGGCATTGGATCCCCTAGAACTAGAGTTCCAGATAGTAGTGAGCTACCATATGGGTACTGGGAATGGAGCCCAGATACCCAGGGAGAGCAACTAGTGCTTGCTCTTAATTGCTAAGTCATCTCTTCAGCCCCCTAGTTGTATTTATTTCAGTCCCTTGTATACTGATAGAAACTCAGTTGTCTGTACTCTCTACAGAGGGAGAATGTGTTTTGATACAAATTATAAACATTTATGTTACTATTTTTTAATCAAAAATTGGCATATCTTTAAGTTAGAAAGAACATTAAAGGTATATTGTAAAAAATACTGTATAATACAAACTCCTCATTTAGGAAAAGTTCAAAGAAATAGGTAGTTGACTATATTCTAGTTGAACATTCATTAGAGAAGGATGATGGAGAGGAAAAAAAACAACTTTTTTTTTTTCCTTTTTCTCTTTTTTTTTGAGACAGGGTTCCTCTGTGTAACAGTCCTGGCTGGCTGGCCTAGAACTAGATTTGTAGTCCAGGCTGGCCTTGAACTCATAGAACCACCTGCCTCTGCCTCCCAAGTTGGATCAAAGGTATGTGCCACCACTGCCCAGCAAAAAAAAAAAAAAAAACAATTTTTAATCAGTGTTTTATTGATCAGATAGATATATTTTCCTAGGATATTTTGGAAGAACAGTGAATCAAGCATTTTTAGGGTCTCCCAACAAAACCAGCAGTAGGAATTTTAGATATTTTAACTTATAAATGTCAGTAATGTCCTTGTTTTCTAAAGTTGTTAGTAATTGCTTTCATGAATATTTCTCTTTTGGGATCTGTTGAAGAATCTGTCCCTCTGTACAGCTGCTCTCATGTACATATTGAGTAGAGATCGTTTGAACATGGATCTTGATAGGGCCAGCCTAGATCTCATGATTCGACTCTTGGAACTGGAACAAGATGCTTCTTCAGCTAAGCTACTGAATGAAAAAGATATGAACAAGATCAAAGAAAAAATCCGAAGACTCTGTGAAACTGTGCACAATAAGCATCTTGATCTAGAAAATATAACGGTGGGTTGTTTCCTTCTATAACAAATGAAGATTACACTCAGAAGTCTGATTAGTCACAGTGACTATGTGGGTTTTGACAAATCATTTTACCTTTATTCATTAGCCTTGTTTACAGCCTTCTTTGACAGTTTTCTAGTAAGATTTAGCTCTGAACATCATTTCCTGTCCTAGTTAGGGTAACTGTTGCTATGATGAAACACCATGACCAACGCAACTTGGGGAGGAAAGGGTTTATTTCAGCTTACACTTCCAGGTAATAGTTCATCCTGAGGGAAGTCAGGGCAGGAACCTGGAGGCAGGAGCTGCTGCAGAGGCCATGGAGGAATGCTGCTTACTGGCTTGCTTCTTATGGCTTCCTCGGCCTGCTTTCTTAGAGAACCCAGGACTACCACAGTGGACTGGGCCTTCCCCCATCAGTCACTAATTAAGAAAAAGCCAGATCTTTTCTCAATTGAGATTCCCTCCTTTCAGGTAACTCTAGCTTGTGTCAAGTTGATATAACATTAGCGAGCCTACTCCTGAAATCTGTAAACTAGCTCATCTGTATTTGAGCCTTTCCTGGTTTTGGTTTTGCTAGTAAACAACTGTTTTTCTTGTTACATTTTACTTAAACTTTTTCTTTTCCTTCCTTTCTTCCCTCTGCAGTTAAGCTGTTAGCAACTGGGATTTTTATTTTTCTCCATTTCAGAAATCAGGATTTGTAAAGGATTTGTAAGCAAGCATTGGCTTATTCTAGACTATCTCAGGGTATCTGGAAGCTAAAAGAAATTCCTAGTCACTTGCCTTTTTTGGAGCAATGTCCCTATTCATTGTAGGATTATGGCAGGTGTTTACCTTTATTCTGAGCACAGTTCCCCCAACAGATGATGATAATCTAATGGTTACAAGGCTAATAAGATAATTGACCCATGGTTTTGAGGAGAGGAGAAAAGATTGTTGTATAACTTGATTTTGTGAGATAAAACTTTTTTCTCTTGCCTGCTTAACTGAGAGGCCTGCAACATTTGCCACAAACGTTGACAGACGGTTATACTAGTCACAGTAACTGAAGGCTGTCACTGTTTAATTATACTAGACTTACTAAGGGGTTCATGGATTCTGAAAAAGATAGTAAATGGGAGCAAAGCCAGCCAGCTTTAAGCACATTGTCAGGTTCAAAACTCAAATGTGTTCTCTGCTTTCTAGAACTGGAAAATCACCACAGTCTGTGTAATACCTTTAGGTTGATTTGGAAGTGGGGCAGGGGCAGTATTATACTACATTTAAAACTAGTAATTTTCATTCACTCAGCATTTTTGCATCTACCTTTTAAAAATAATTATTAAATTTACATTCAAAGTGTAGGTTTCATTGTGGCATTTTCTTCCATTCTTTGTTTTTATTGGGACATCTTTCCCAGTGTTCTCCCCTGTCCAATAACTCAGTTACCACTCTCAGCCAACCCCAGAAATATTTGCTTGTCTGTTTATTCCTGCACTGCTGAAGATAGCTAAGAAATGGACCTAACCTAGATCTCCAGGAACAGATGAATAAATAAAAATGTGGTCTATATATCAATGTGGAATTTTAGTCGTCCATAAAGGAAAGGTTAATTTTTAGTGCTTAAAAATTAAATTGAGCCTATAATTTTTATTTGCTGTATAATTGAATAAATATTTCTTTTTTGTTACTCGTATTCAGCATTAGAGTTTGAAATATTTGCTGTTAAATGATAATTTTTTTTAAATGAATTTGACTTCTTTTGTTACTTGTTAGGGTAAGTAACTATCAGCATGAAACATATTGTGACAGTTTATTAAATAATTTACTTACATAGTTAAAGCCAGAGCACGGGACTGTGTTAGGGTGCTTCTCCTTCAATTCATTGTCAGCTGTTGTTAAATATGGTTGTTTCTAAATTGTACAGTAGGCTTAGAAGTTGCTTTGTTTAAAGAATAGCTGCACACATTGGTTTTGTTATATTTGGGTGTGGCTTATTTTTGTTGTATGATGTTTTTGTATATTTTAAAGTTTTTTTGTTTGTTTTGTTTTGTTGTTTTGAGACAGGGTTTCTATGTGTAATCACTGTCCTGGTTGTTCTGGAGCTCCTTCTCTAGACCAGGCTGTCCTTAAACTCACAGAGATTCACCTGTCTCTGCCTCCTGATTGTTGGTATTAAAGGCGTGCACCACCACTGCCTGGCTATTTTAAAGTTTTTCTATTCTGTTTTTTAAATAATCAATTTATAGCCAGGTGTGGTAGTACACAATTTTAATCTCAGCACTCGGGAGGCAGAGGCAGAGGCAGTCAGATCTCTGAGCTCAAAGCGAGCCTGGTCTACAAAGCAGGTTCCAGGACAGCAAGGACAACACAGAGAAACCCTGTCTCCCCAAAAAAATAAATAAAAATAAAAAATGCTTTAACTTCTTTTGAATATACTTGTTCTGTTGATAAGACATAAAGATAATAATAGTATAGAGTTTTAAACAATGGATGACTGAGCTGGGCGGTGGTGGCGCACGCCTTTAATCCCAGCACTCGGGAGGCAGAGGTAGGCGGATCTCTGTGAGTTCGAGGCCAGCCTGAACTACCAAGTGAGTTCCAGGAAAGGCGCAAAGCTACACAGAGAAACCCTGTCTCGAAAAACCAAAAAAAAAAACAAAACAAAACAATAAAACAATGGATAACTGAATGTTAACAGTTAACAGAATAGTCTTATTAGTGATTTTGCTTTAGAGAATTATTTTAGTTTTCAAATAAAAATGCTTAAAATAGGTTGTTTTTGAATGGTAGCTTATGATATGATAAATATAGTCTAAAATACAGGGTTTTTTACTAATATAAAATTTTTATAGTCTTAAAGATACAACATTAGGCCTCAGCTTTGCTGTTAAGACTCATGAGGTGATTAATTTGTTAATTAAATTACTCTTTGCAGGACCTAGAATGAGAAATGAACCTAATTCAATAATTTTCTTGTATTGGATTCTAATTCTCTATTTACCCTAGCAAAATTTTTCTTTGTTTTTGAAGAACTTATTAAAATATTTAGATCCTTCTTAATTTTTTAATACTGAGATTCTCATTGGTAAAACTTGTTTTATTTTGTGTAATGTATATTCAGTTTCAAATGTAATATATACCGAGGTGAAAAATTTCCTTTTTGAAGTGTGTAAGTTCAGATTGTGGTTAGAGGTCAGACAGAAACGTCTTTCCGGTCTTTGCTAATTATTCCCCCAACCACCCCCCTTTTTTAAAGGAGTAGTTCATTGCTACGTTGCAAGGGGTTAGCAGACTGAACAGTAATTAAATCAGTTCCTCCAACCCTGCTGATTATTTCTTCTCTTAGGCTAAACTGTATTACACCAACAACTAGATTACTCTGTTGGGAAGTGGCTTTAGATCCATAGGCTCTAAATCCATAGGTTCATGAAGAAAAATGCTAACCTAGTTAGTTATAAATGTGGTCTTATTTGTGCACCATCTAGTGGTGGTTCTGGATGTATATTGTTGTGACTACAAGGAATCTTCTCGTTGCTAAAGAATCCTATAGTACAAAGTTCAAGACAACTTTGTAGGAAAATAAAAAGTAATGAGCAGAGAACTTGAAGAAAAAAATGTGGTTCACTGATAAATGCGTGGAAAAATGCTTGTGTTTACTGTATTCAAAAAAACTATAAACCAAAGTGTTATTACTTTGTACCTTCAGGCTGTTTAAATTAATGACCACTGAATTTGAACATTTAGGGCCACTGACATTCCCACACTTGCCTCCTTGAAATGTATCTCATTACATTCTTTTTGGTAGGTTAATCCAATATATTTATTTATAATAAAGAATATATTATTTGATTCAGTAATGCCACATCTGAGCCTCTATATTGGCATTATGTATTACTGAAACTAACAAGAAATAGATTACTTTTAATAAACTTTTTCCATAAAAGCAAGCCATATAGTTGAGGCACAGTTTCTTCAGTATACACTATTCTGATAAAATTAGACATTAATTCACCTATGAAAGCATTTACTGTTCTGTTTTTGACTTACTACATTTTAATAAAGACAAATTCCTAAATTTAATGTTTCAGAATTATTCTAGCCAGGGGGTGATGGCACACACCTTTAATCCTAGCATGTGGAAGACATGGACAGGCACATCTCTATGAGTTCTGGGACAGCCAGAGTTCCATGGAGAAGAAACCCTGGTTTTTTTTTTTTTAAATGAAAAAATGGAAAAAAAATTGTACACCTCAATATTCATTAACGTATTTCTGATTTTTTAGACTGGTCATTTAGCTATGGAGACATTGTTGTCCCTTACTTCCAAACGAGCAGGAGACTGGTTTAAAGAAGAGCTCCGGCTTCTGGGTGGTCTGGATCATATTGTAGATAAAGGTCTGTATGCAACGCGCACACACACACACACACACACACACGTCTAGTCCCAACACTTGGCAGGCCGATCTCTGAGTTGAAGACCAGCCTGGTCTACAGAGCAAGTTCTAGGACAGCCAGGGCTACACAGGAGAAACCCTGTCTCGGGAAACAACAACAACAGGAGACACGGTGACCAAGGCAGCTTATAGAGGAAGTTTATTGAGGGCTTACGGTTTAGAGAGTGAGTCCATGACCATCATGGCAGGGAGCATGGAGGCAGACAGATGAGGTGCCAGGGCAGTAGCTAGAGTTCACATCTTGACATATAAGCACCGAGTTTAGACAAGCAAGGAGAGAGGAACTAACTGGGAATGGCCTGAGTATTTTGAAACCTCAAAGCACATATAGGCCTCCTCTGACAAACCCAAAGCTCCTAATTCTTCCTAAACAACTGCTGACCAAGCATCCCAATAGTGGAGCCCATGGGAGCCATTCTCATTCAAACCGCTGCACTTAGTATTGAGCATAAAGTGATGTTCACATTCCAGCATCTTCGTAGCACGTGTGTGGGTGACTTTTGGTGTAAGCTAAGGAATGATTATTGAAGTTTTATATACTAACTTTTGTCCATTTCTTTTTGCCTAGTAAAAGAGTGTGTGGATCATTTAAGTAGAGATGAGGATGAAGAGAAACTAGTAGCCTCTTTATGGGGAGCAGAGAGATGTTTACGAGTTTTAGAGAGTGTAAGTATGGGAACTTCATGAGGGAATTATATCTAGTTGTGATTGTATATGCTTATAACCACCTGATGTTTTTTATACCAGGGAGTTTTATCTTTGTTGCTCTGAAAGGGTTCTTTCACAACCATTTGTCAGTAAGTGAGCATCTTACCATTTTAAGGATGTGTTGTGTTGCTGGACATGGTGATATACGCTGTGCTCCTAAAATTGGGAGACTCGGGAGGAAGGATTATGAGTTAAAGGCCAGCATGAGCTACATAGATTAAAAACTTGTCTCAAAACAAAAAGCCTCTATTTGTATATTATTGCTTCAAATGAAAGGTGCATACAGGTTTGTTCATATGTACCTGACTTAATAGTTTTCTTAATACAGAATTCTGTTTCCGGTAAATATACTAACTTGTTTGTAGAAAGCAGCAGACACAGCCTTGTTTTTGTTTTAGTTAATATGCTTTTGTTTATTTAGCTTTTGAGTCAGATAGTAAGCACAGCTGAAAGTATTTGACTTCCGAAAATAATACTGTTGGGTGACACTGAGTATCTTTGGTGGTTATGAATGACTTAGCCTAGTTCAATGTAGGCTACAATTTTACTGCCAGTGAATTTTAGAATGTATAATTACTAATTAAGTATTTTGGCTAGGTACTTTTTTTTTGTTTAAAGATTCATTTATTATGTACACAGAAGAGGGTGCTAGATCTCATTACAGACTGTTGTGAACCACCATGTGGGTGCTGAGAATTGAACTCAGGACCTCTGGAAGAGCAGTCGGTGCTTTTAACCTCTGAGTCATCTCTCCATCCCGGCTAAGTACTTTTAAAAACATGGAGGAGCTTTTGGCATATATAAAATTGAAATTGTTCCTTCTTTCTTTTAGGTTGCTGTTAACTAGGTATCACATTATTTATTTAAAAAATTTAAAATGGCTGAGTATGGTGGTACACACCTTTAATCCCAACACTTGGGAAGCAGAAGCAGGCAGATTTCTGTGAGTTAAGGGTCAATCTGAGCTTCATAATGAGTTTCAGGATGGCCAAGGCTACGTAGAGAGACCCTGTTTCAAAAAGAAAGATAGAAAAAAATATATACATACACTAAATAAAAAAAGACATAAAATTTAAAATATTTGAAATTTATTTTTAATGAGTTTTAAAGTATCAAGTTTGTATGTTGGAGATTTTTCTGCCTGTTTCAAAGTACTTGGCAAATAAGCATAGCAAATAAATAGTGATAACTACATTAATTATGAGTAATTATGACAGTGGTGCCTTAATTTTATGATAAATCAGTAGTTTTTAGTTGGGATCTCATTATGTAACTTTAGCTGACCTGAATGGTCACTTCTGTAGACCAGGATGGCCTTGGACTTAGACAAGCCTGCCTCTTCCTCCTGAGTGCTAAATTTAAGGATGTGTGCTGCATTCTGAGTAGTAGTTCTCTTATTTTAAATATTGACCTTATAGGTTGCACCTATAGGTTGTAGGGGTTAATTCCCTGTGTTAGGGTTTCATAAACTCTGCCGCTCAGCACCCATTTTTGCCCAGTAAATTTTAACTGGTGAACCTCAATATATTAGCAATATTAAATAGATACATAGTGTGAAAATTTTTAAAATTAAAGCCAAGACAGAATCTTAAACAGCATTTTGTTTTTGTTTGTTTGTGTTTTTGAGACAGGGTCTCTGTATGTAGTCCTGACTGCCCTAAAACTTGCTATAAAGCACCAGGCTGGCCTCAAACCCACAGAGATCCTCCTGCCTCTGCCTCCTGAGTGCTAGGATTAAAGGTGTGTATCACTATGTCCTTCTATTAAAACAGCAATTTTTAAAGTCAGTCATTCCAACAAATACACAATCCAAAGGTATACAGCAGTTTGATATACAGCAAGGAAACCCTTAAAAGATTATGCTATATTTAAGCAAATGACTGTTAGAGACCAGAAAATCTTATGTATATTGTATTTTGTAGCATAAAGCAGACTTGTTTCTTAGCTCTTTAAGAAACATTTGTTGGTGTGTGGCATGACAACAGGCATGATGCAAAATGTTCGTGTTGTGTGTTAGAACCAAGTGAATTCATGAAAGGAGCGTGAGCATTACTAGAAACACTTTGGATTCATTCTGCATTTGACTTTTGAATTAATTTTTGGTACTTGAGAAATTTTCTATGTTGCCAATCTTTGCAACCCCACATTTAATTGCAACTCTGTGGGTCACAACTTGAGTTTAAGAAGTTGTATCCTGGGCTGGAGAGATGGCTCAGAGGTTAAGAGCACTGACTGCTCTTCCAGAGGTCCTGAGTTCAATTCCCAGCACCCACATGGTGGCTCACAACCATCTGTAATGAGATCTGGCACCCTCTTCTGCATACATAATAAATAAATAAATCTTTAAAAAAAAAAAAAAAGTTGTATCCTGCCAGGTGATGGTGGTGCATGCCTTTAATCCCAGCACTCGGGAGGCAGAGGTAGGCGGATCTCTGTGAGTTCAAGGCCAGCCTGGTCTACAAAGCGAGTTCCAGGAAAGGCTCCCAAAAAAACCCCACGAAGTTGTATCCTTAGATGGCAAGGTCTGTTTAATTTTTGTATTTTAAGGCATCAGGTAAAATGTGCTGTTATTTATAATGAAAATTATGGATTGTCACAGTCATTTTTATATCCTTTCCTTTTAGGTAACAGTGCATAATCCAGAAAATCAAAGCTACTTGATAGCCTATAAAGATTCACAACTCATTATTTCATCAGCTAAGTAAGTTTTAATAAACCTTCTCATTATTTTTTTAAAACTAAGGAAATAAAGTTGTATTCTGTTCCTTCTTAAAATGTGTTGCTGTTGAGATTTGTGAATAAGTACACTGTAGAGCAAAAGTGAGTAGTACAGATTCTTGAGCTTTGGTGAGAATTCAGCTTCTTCATGTTAGCTCTAACCCTGACAAGTCACTGTGTTGTTGCAAGGTCTTTAGGGAAGACAAGAATTGTGCCTTGCTGCTGCTAGGGTAGTTTTGCAATCACTAAATATCTTCACATATATCAGATACATTTCTACAATGTATATAATACATGTTTAGATTTCAAACGTTTGTTAAAACTTTTTAAGGTATATATACAACGTATGTTAATGAGTTAAGTTCTATTTTTAAGGTCTAGTATAGCATTGCTTAGTGAATGGTAAATATATTAGTCCTTTTATTTGAAGTGGGTTGTAACTCCATTTCTGCCCTTTATTTATATCTCCTTTTCCAGATCTTTGTGTAGTATCTCTCCTTGTCTAGCCTTCATCACAATTAGGCTAATGCTGTCACCTCTGCCTCTGTGTCTCCAGTCCTGGTTCTGTCTTATTACAGCCGCTTCTTCTTGGTATCGCTGTCCTCGTTTTTTGCTATCTCTGCCCTAGTTCTCTGGCCTTTATCTTAGCTGGCATTATGCCACTGGGATTTAACTTTCTCTGGGTCTCTGCTTTGAAAAACTCATCTTAAATTGCAATTCTGTATTGCAATTCTTTATTGTCTTTGTATGAAAGGAACAAATGTTTCAGTGCAAATGGTCTAGCTTATCTGTGTTTTAACCTCTTATTTGGAGAATTTCAGACTTAGAGAAATGTAGACAGAATGGTATGATCAACTCTTATTATTCAGCTTGAATACTATCTAGGCGAGTTCTGTTTCTATCACCTCATCCTTATGTGTTATTTTGAAGCAAATCCAAGTGTTATATCATCTCCATTTCCTGTTTTGTGTTCCTTTGGTGGATTTCATAGGACATTATTATCCTTAATGCATGTAATCTTTCCTTCTCAAGGATTTTCTTCCCAAGTTGTCTGTTTCTGATTCCTTTTTTTTGGGGGGGTGGTGGTGGTGGGCGGTAGTTGTGGTTGATTGATGGGTTTGTTGTTGTTTTTGATAGCAGTAGGGATTGAACCTGTGGTTTCAGATACACCTGGCAAGTACTCTATCATTCAGTCCAAGTCCCTGCATTTTTTTTAATTAACAAAAGGTATATTTCTGATTTTAAAAGTCCTTTCTTTCTTATACTTCTTAATCCCTGAGAATTGCCTTCATAAGTGTTTAGTGTGACAGTTTCCATCTCTTGCATAGGATTTTCTGGTGAAATGTTTTTAGAAGTGATGATAAAAGTCAGAATTGAAGTTTGGGAAATAGCACTCACCTGGAGCTTTTCAAGAAAACATCATAGATACTCAGTAATACTTAAGACAGTCAGTTTAGTTATTTACTAATAACCACAGGGAAATCTGTCAACATCCTCAAACATCAGAAGAATAAATTATTTGGGTTTGACCTTATAAGAACATCTTAACCAAAGAATTGTAGACTATTTAAGAGTTTTATATATAGAATTTCCTTATTATATATTAATAAGAAACTAGGAATAGATTAAAAATGCTATATTTTTCTTTAAGGGTTTTGTGTGGTATGCAGTTCATGAAAAATAAAATTGACAGTTTACTTGATCTGTGTCACACTTGGGGGAAAATCCTAACGGATTTGAGGTTTAAAGATGCCTGGGGGGGCTGGAGCAATGACTTAGCAGGTAAAGATTCTTGAGAGTATAGACTTGACCCTTTGTTCAGCTCCCAGAACCCGTGCAGAAATGAAGGGGCACATCAACTCCACAAAGTTTTGTTTTGATTCCTGCATGGGTGATGTGGCACCTTCCGTACCCCCAACCCCAATCATACAAACATAGTAATAATAAACATAAAAATTACAAATAGTCTTCAGAAATAGACTGCATATGTATTCATGTTTCAAGTCTTGGGAATCATTCATTGGGTATAGCTGCCAGAAGACCTGTTACTTAAATGATCTACAATTAAAAATAATGATTTGCCTTATTGTATGTCAAGCATTTAATACTCACCTTTACCAGGTGATTTATTTTAAATATGATGCTCTACCTGCTAAGAAAACATTCTCTTCATTTGCTAAATGAAAAACAACTAAGTAAAACTGAAAAGGGCCTGTCATTGTTTCTTAAAGGCTTTTGTGTGTGCAGGTGGGGATGCATTGTGATATATTTTGTGTGTGAGATATGTATAACGTATGACAGCTCCTGCAAAAGTAACAGGAGTTTGTTTTGTGAGGGGTTGTTTTGGTTGTTGTGGTAGTAGTTTGATTTGAGATGGGATCTCACTCTTTTGTCCCAGCTAGTAAACTCCTGGGCTAAAGCAATCTTCTTGCCTCAGCCTCCTCTGTAGTGGGAACTATAGACATGAACCACCATACTCAGCATGAATGAATGAACTTTTAACTTTCTTCAGAGAAAATTTAAGAATGATCAAGTTCATCAAACTTTAACAACTAGTGAGATTATCAGGCATCTGTGATACATTTATTAGACATTAAACATTGTAACTTTCAAAACGGAAAAACCACAAAACCAAAAAACCCTGACTGTTTTTATTTAGGCCCTGGTAAATAGAAACTTACTGTATAACTTTTATTATACTATTTTATTTTCTCTCAAGAGCATTACAGCATTGTGAAGAACTAATCCAGCAGTATAACCGTGCTGAGAACAGCATATGCATAGCAGACAGTAGACCTCTGCCTTACCAGAATGTAACTAACCACGTGGGCAAAGCAGTGGAGGACTGCATGCGGGCTATCATTGGGGTATTGCTCAATTTAACTAATGATAATGGTACGTAATATTTTTTTATTGAAAAATTATAGATTGCACATGGGAATAAGCTATTCTGTTTATGATATAATGATTTACAGTATTCCATTACATAATTGACTTACTCCTATAGTCAAAAGCTACTTTTAGGAATTGATTCTTAGAGCTGCCTAGTAAATAAGCCTTGAAATATCAAAACCACATATTTTAGTAAAGGAATAATTAGTCAGTTTAAAATTAATACTTATTTTTGTAGCTGGGTATGGTGGGCAGACCTACAGTCCTAGCACTTGGGGAGGCTAAGGCAAGAGGAGGGCCAGAGGTTGAGGCCAGCTTGGGCTACAGAGCAGGTACCAGGTCAAGCAGGTCTCGGGAAAAGAAGACAAAAACCGACAAAAGAAAATGATTTTAAATGTGGTGATTGGTGTCATAGGAAGATTTTCTTATTTCAGAGTGGGGCAGCACGAAGACAGGAGAACAAGATGGACTTATAGGCACAGCCATGAACTGTGTCCTTCAGGTTCCCAAGTACCTACCTCAGGAGCAGAGATTCGATATTCGAGTGCTGGTGAGGCCAAGTGTTACTTGGTGTTTTATTTTATCTTTAGAGGAGGAAACTTCATTTTAGTTTGGATTTAAGAATCAGTTGTCCCGGGAGCTGGTGGCGCACACCTGTAATCCCAGCACTCGGGAGGCAGAGGCAGGTGGATCTCTGTTCGAGGCCTGCCTGGTCTACAGAGCTAGTCCAGGACAGGCTCCAAAGCTCCAGAGAAACCCTGTCTCGAAAAACAAAAAAAAAATAAAAATAAAAAAAATAAAAAGAATAAGAATAAGAATCAGTTGTTTAATATATTCTGGGTTAGACTGGAGAGTTGGCTGTTCTTCTAGAGGTTCTGAGTTCAATTCCTAGCAACCACATAATGGCTCACAACCATCTATGATGAGATCTGGTGCCCTCTTCTAGCATGCACATAGAATACTGTATACACAATAAATATATATAAAGTGTGTGTGTGTGTGCGTGTGTGTATGTGTGTATTCTGGGTTGTTTTGATGGATCCTTATGAACATACTTCTCCATATTTTTCTATCTTACAAAGCCTCCTTTATAAAAATAAAGATTTAAACTGAAAATGGTAGTTAATAACTGAGGAGCTAAGTGTTGCTCATGTCCATAACCCTAGCACTTTGAATGGTGGAGTAAGAGGATGGCCATGAGTCAGGGCCATCCTGGACTATAGAAATCAACAAAACAGTTCCTCTGCTGCCTACCCAAGCCAGCTGAAAGAATCTTTTGGAAAGAGCAGTACCTTGCACAGTGTTTTTGAACAGATTTACAAATGGAAAAAAATGCTGTTTAACATTTCATTTGACAATAAAAGTTAAAAAATTACATGTTATATTCATTAAATTCTTGTTTATGATAGTTATATTTTTTTAATATTTTATAGGGATTGGGTCTACTGATAAATCTGGTGGAGTATAGTGCCCGGAATCGACACTGCCTTGTCAACATGGAAACATCCTGTTCTTTTGATTCTTCTTTCTCTAGTGGAGAAGGAGATCAGAGTTTAAGGCTAGCTGGACAAGTTCATGCTGTTCAGGCATTAGTACAGGTGAGAAGCAGTGACATAATTACATATATGTAAATTCTACAGGGTCCACTGTTCACTCAGAAATGAAAAGTCAACTGACTCCTTCAGTCTTGATTCGCTGGCACAGTCCCTAGGACCTCTGGGATTCTTGATTTGTTTTTTCTAGGTTATTATCTTATACATACAGTCTTCAAAATCTGTTTATTTAGCACATCTTGAAGGTCTGCTTAGTAATTGATATGGTATTTTTCATTAATAACTTGTTTCATTTCTCAAATGGTGTGAATGGGTATATTAAGTGCTTTTTGTGTTGAACACAATAACAACAAAAGGAAAATAAAGTAATTGAAGACAAGGAATTTGGTGGGTTCTCTTGACTGAATGGAATACGTAATAGGAAACTCTATTAATAGTCTTATACTTAAATAATAAAACTGCAAATAATGTTATGATCTAGTTCTTCCTGGGACCTTTTATATTTTTATATCTTTAATTTTTTGTAAAGATGTTATTTTGCTTTACCTCGTGCAGTTCAGTTATTGCCTTTCCTACTGGTTAATTTATCCAATATGCATGGGTTTGTTGATTTGTTTGTTTGTTTGTTTAATGGTAGTTTTTTTGTTTGTTTTTTTTTTCCTTTAATTTTCTAGGTAGTATTACCTGGATTAAGGACAATTATGGAGACTTTCACTATTGGAAACAGTACATAAACTGTTACTAGATTCCTTAAATCTTAACAACATTTATATTTCAGTTTTGGCTTTTGGTAAAATGTAAGACAAGCTTTTTTAAAAATCAGATATTCTTATTTAAAGCAAAATATTAGAATATGTACATGTTGGCATTTGATCAATTTTTTTTAATAGATTTCCATCCCTCTCCTTTCTCTAGTGCCTCCCACTTCTTTATAATTGGGGTGTGTTGTGTGTGTGTGTATAAATACAATCATTTGAAATTATTTAGTATTGCTTGTATGTGTTTAGTGCTGATCTTAGGTTTGACTAACTTATTGATGCCTTTTAATGATTTTCAAAAACAATTTTTATCAGCTATTTCTCGAACGAGAGCGAGCAGCACAGTTGGCAGAAAGTAAGACAGATGAATTGATCAAAGATGCTCCCACCACTCAGCACGATAAGAGTGGAGAGTGGCAAGAAACAAGTGGAGAAATACAGTGGGTGTCAACGGAAAGGACTGATGGTGCAGAGGAGAAGCAGAAGAAGGAGGAGGAGGATGAAGAACTCGATCTCAATAAAGGCATGTTTATCTTGAGTAGTGGTAGATTCACAGTGAGAGGAAGATTTTTTTCTTCAGAACATTTTGATTCATGTATTGTTATAATTTAACAATGTCTGTATAGTTTATCTAGTTAAACTTGGGTAGTTCATTACTTACAAGTAATTCTTCCTATCAGTGAGCATGGTGTGTGTCATTGAGAGATCACTTTTCTTTCTTGGTGCTTCCCCTCCTTTATAAGGAGTAGCAGCTGAGCTGGACATGATAGTGCACATCTGTAATTCCAGCAGTTGATAGGCTGAGGCCAAAAGAATGTGGGTTGGAAACCAGCCTGGGTTATATAATGAGACCATAGTTCTAAGGGGGAGAGGATGAATTTCTCAGATTTCTTTTTTTCAGTCTCTGACATATTTTGTTAGACTTTACAGTAGTAGTTCTCAGCTAGGTAAAGAAGAGGAATACATACCTAGCTAGAGGCACTATTTTTACTAATGAATTATTGACAACCTATTGTTTCCAGGAATTATGATACTTGGTTTATATACAAATTCTACAAAATAGCTATTTGTAACTAGGCCCCCAAGGTTTTATTTTTATGTTTTATTTTTTGTTGTTGTTGCTGTTGTTTAGTTTTTCCAGACAGGGTTTCTCTGTAGCCTTGGCTGTCCTGGAACTCACTCTGTAAGTCAGGATGGCCTCAGAGATCTGCCTACCTCTACCTCCTAAGTGCTGGGATTCAAAGACGTGTGCCACTACCTCCCAGCTAAGGTTTGAAATTTAGTGTGTTCAACTTTTCCACTTAGAAGACTGAGGTTGAGCTTCGTCTCTTTCTGTTAGGTGTAGCAGGAATCTTAAAGAGTCTTATTAATAAGAATGAACCTGGGGCCAGTTGTTGGGGTGAATGCTGGAAGGTCAGAAGCAGAACAAGCTATAGCCAACCTCACCTTGCTAGTTCCTCAGCTGATCCTGTTTCCTCCGACTAGAAGCCTCTGAGTCCTCATCCAGAATGAATCTCAGCTGAACTGCTGCTCCAAAGCCTGAAAGCTTAACCAGCCAAATGCTTCTAGTTTCTGGTCTCCACGCCTTATATATCTTTCTGTTTTTGCCATCACTCCCTGGGATTAAAGGCTCACTTCCTGGGATTAAAGGGGTGTGTCACCATGCCTGGCTGTTTCCAATGAGACCTTGAACTCACAGAGATCCAGAGGGATTTCTGCCTCTGGAATGCTAGAATTAAAGGCGTGTACTACCACTGCCTAACCTTTGTTTAATATTGTGGCTGTTCTGTCTCTGACCCCAGATAAGTTTATTAGAGTGCACAATATTTTGGGCAACACAATACCACCACAGTTAGGCTACTTCTCCCCTAAGTTCTGATACTCTATGAAAATTTTGCTCCTAAGAAACTTAGCTACTAAGGTTTGTCATAGTCTTTTACTCAGAGGCCTGTGGTTTAAACCAGATAAGCTTTGATAGTTTAGTGCATATTATAATCATAGTTTTGTTTTGACAGTCTTATTAAAAAATGATTGCTTATTGAGATATAATTCATATACTATAAAATTACCCTTTTAAAGTGAGTAATCCAATAGCTTAGTATATTCGCAGAATTATGTATTCATTCCTATTGTCTAATGTTGAACTTGTTTTCTTTAGCCCTAAAGAAACTATGTATCAGTCGGCAGTCAGCTTCTCCATTTCATCCTCCCCCACCACTGCCAATAGTGATCTACTTACTCTCTCCAACCATTTACCTGTTTAGGGAATTTCATATAAAAAGAAACATACAATTTTTTTTTCTTTAAGGAACTTACTTCAGTTAGATGCATGTTTTTAGCATTTGGTAGAACTGTATTCCTTATTTATATAGTCAGACCATATTTCATTGCATGGTCTTACTAGGTTTTGTTTATCTGTCCATTGCTGAGCATTTGAGCTGTTTCTACTTTCTAGCTAGTACAGTGATACTGTTTTCCAGTGTGGTAGCAGCAGCCCATCAGCAATGTGTGAGGGTTCCAGCTTAATTCACACCTTGAAGTTGTTTTTTCATAGACATTTTGGTTGACAGAAAAGTTTTTGTTTCATTTGCAGCTCTTTAAAGACATTATGTGGAACATTTTAATTTGTTTATGGTCTTTTTGTGTCTTTGAAGAAATGATGTATTCAAATCTCTTGCCTACTTTTTAATCTGGTTATTCATCTTGTCATTAAATTGAAAGCCTTCTTTATGTATTCTGAACATCTTATCAGATAAAGGATTGTGTACTTCCACTTTGTTAGTGGTATCTTTTTAAAAACCAATCTTTAAGTATGTTACAGTTTAGTTCTTATATTTAGGTCCCAATTGAGTTAGTTTTTATTAATTTGGGATACTGGGTTGTCAGCGCATTACATTTAGTAGCTTTTAAGGTAATAACAGAATAATTGAAGGTGCAGAGTTTGTATCAGTTGATACACTGTTAAAACTCTTTATTTAACTGTTCTCAGCCCTTCAACATGCTGGCAAACACATGGAGGATTGCATCGTGGCCTCCTACACAGCCTTGCTTCTTGGGTGTCTCTGCCAGGAAAGTCCCGTAAGTAAATAGTTCAGAAATGTTTTAAGAGATTTAAATGTATCTTTAAGAGATTGTTGTGCAACAGCTTCATGCCATTACCTGATGTATTTATTTACTTTAAAAATTTTCCCCATTCATATATACTTTTTATTTCAGAAGAGCTTTTGACTAATCATGAGGTTATTTAAACAATTTTATTTAATTTCCTGTGGAAAAAAAGTGTCAAGACTATGTCTTAACTTTCTAGTGGTTTCTTTAATACATTGACTATCTTTATTTCCTTTCCAATACAGGCTTTCATAGTAAGATTTGAGATGGGGTGAATTGTTGGTTTTCATCGCTTTTTTTAAAAACTGATATACCTATGAGAGTCAAACTGTTGAAAATATTAAAAAGCAAGCTAGTGGATTCATGGTGTAGCTCCATTACTAAAGTGCTCGCTTGGTATACATGAAGCCCTGGTGTAGCCCCTAGTGCTGCTTCCTAAACTGCTCATGGCAGTGTATGCCTGGAATCCCAGGACTTGGAGATAAAAGCAGGAGCTTAGAGCCTCAGAACAAACAAACAAACAAAAACAAAACCTAACAGGAATGCTTTTAATGTCATAAGAAAAAACAAAAAAACAAAACAAAACAACAACAACAAAAACCAGGAAGGTTTGTGGGATGTTAAAGACTTTCAAATAGTTGTTGAACTTTTCAAGATACATTCTAAACTAAGAATGCATTAGGTATAACAGGAAAGTTCTTGGTATGGATGAATGAGCTGCTGCTGTTACCTGTAGTAGGAGTAAAAGAAGGGCTAGTGTGAAACCTGTGCTCAGTTGGCCGAGTCCCTCTGAACCAATTTCAGGCCAGGAAAATGGGATTACCATTAGTAGATTAAGTTCATCAGGGATTACTTATGAGAAATACAGGTGTCTACATAATTAAACTATCACACAAAAGTGGAGGTTATAGCTATTGGACAGTCTGTTGCCATTGGAAAAACAAATATGATCTTATGTCACCGTGAGTGCTCCCTTTGAAATATGTGGTGGCACAGGTGGGTAAAGTGAAAGCTCAGTAGTTACCTTAATTTCTTATACAGTTATACAGTATTGTATAACTGTACTGAAATATAGATCTTGAAGTTCTGTTAGTCTGATAGGTGGCCATCATTATGGGTGTCTGTAGTTTTCTTGTTCCTAAAAAAGAAGGTTCTGAATTTGTGGACAATATTGTGGATTCTTAGAATCACAGGGTGATGTATATGTTGCTTTGGTGATCCTTATAATTAGAAAACTAGATGCTACCACTAATATAAAATAAATGGTCTTTCCCATTGTGGAAGTAGAAGCGCTCTGCAATCAGAATTGCATGTGTTCTGTGTGGCCCTGTGCTTAGGAAGCCCAATAAAGTCTGGTCTCATATTCTGTTGCCCACTCTTCCAGTTTGCACCTGGCAGTTTGCAGTGGTCAGTCTCCTCACTGCCCTCATAGGTTCTTGGCCTCTGTATTCTTTGACTCTTGCGCAGTGCCACAAGATCTAGCTTTCTTGAGAGCTCTTGCTAATTACCTAACCTCTCTGTCTCTGGCTTGTCAGCAGCAATGGAGTGAATGATGGATTTACTTACATGTTTAAAATCACACAGTTAAGCCTGCTTCTTTAGTTCCCAAACCCTGCATCCCTCTTGTATAGGTATTAAGTTTCTCAAATAGTCCATGCTATATTTTTCCTTTTGTACTTCCTGTACTATAAATGTTGTAACTGTCCTTCCTACAGCCACTATAAATGTTTAGTTCTTTAGTGTGTTGATAAAGGATTTGAACTAATGAAGGCCTTTTATCCACATCGTAGGAGCTATTTATTCATTATTGGAAGTATACTTTTTTATTGAGCAGTCCTTCAGAGTTACCACAGCCATTATCCCGTCCACTGTTATGGAGGCTGTTTAAATGTAATGATTGATACTACTTTTGTAGCACATGATTATTTTAGCAGGGTTTTTTTTTTTTTAATTAAAAAAAGTATGTGGGTGGATATTTTGCCTGTGTTGTAGTTTTTCTATTATTGTAAAACACCATTACAGCTCACAGTCCTCCATGAAGGGCAGTCAGCAGAAGCCATAAAGGAATGCTGCTGACTGGCTTGTTCAGTTTTCTTTCTTACATAACTCAAGGCCTAGGGGTAGTGCTGCCCATTCTGGGTTGGGCCCTACCCCATCAGTCATCATTCAAGAAAATGCCCCATAGACTTGTCTACGGGTCAGTCTGATGGACACAATTCCTCAATTGCTGTTCTCTTCCAAGATGACTCTAGTTTGTGGAAAGTTGACAGAAAACTAACCAGCACAATATGCATGTATGTCATGCATCATGTATGTGCCTGGTGCTTGGAGGCCAGACAGTTACAGACAGTTAGGAGTCACTATGGTGGGTGCTGGGAATCGAGCCCAGGTTCTCTGGAAAAAGCAGCCAGTTTCTTCACTGCTGAGCCTTCTCTGTAGTCTCTATTTGAGAATTTAAACTCAGGGATGTGCCTGCCTCTGCCTCCTGAGTGCTGGGATTAAAGGCGTGTGCCACCATTGCCTAGTTAAATTAAGCATTTTTAAACATAATGAAATAGAAATTTTAAATCAGGTCATGTAATAGTTTCCTCTTACCAGGGTGTGTGTGTGTGTGTGTGTGTGTGTATTAAATTATATATATATATATATATATATATATATATATATATATATACTGCTTTTTGCTAATAATCAAGGGAAACTTCACCTCCTCTGGGATTGGCCCATAATTTATCACAAATGATATATTTAAAGATTTAGTTAATTCTTCTAATTTACCTCTATAGCATGGAGAATTTTCTTTGATCTGTTTTATAAACAGCTCTGTGAGTATTCTGTCTACACATTCAACAGTGCAGTTTATTTCAGCCTTTTCTCTTTACAGTTAGTCCTTTGTAGCTTTTGCTAGCTTGACTTTACCCTTTCTTTCTGTGGGTAGGATGGTGTAGAGTGGGGAGTGGACCCAAAGGTGCCTGCACATAGTTAAGTGAATGTGGAATGGATGTAACTCAGGAGGTCTGGGCTTCTTGTAGGTGTTTACCGTAAGATACATAGCAGGCCAACAACATTGGGTGGGTTATAGTATCTTTTTCTGCCAGATGACTGACTTTTTAATCTGTTTCCTCAGATCAATGTAACTACAGTGAGGGAATACCTTCCAGAAGGAGATTTCTCAATAATGACAGAAATGCTTAAAAAATTCTTAAGCTTCATGAATCTTACTGTAAGTAACTTTTATTGCATTTTGCAGTTTATATGAGTTTTTTATTATCCAGACAAAATCTTACATTGGCGCCCAGGCTGGCAATCTTCTTGCTTCAGCCTTTCAAGCGCTGAAATTAATAGGTGTGGATAGTGGGACCTGGCTAATGCATGTGTTTTTAAATTGAAATGTAATACACTAAAATAAAAATGGCCATAGAGAATGCTTATGTTTCTGCTTTCTCCTTTTATTCCACCTGAGCTTCTAGCCTGTGAGGTGGTATTACCCATAAACACAAATTATTGTGACAAAATGCTAGATTGTAAAGGCAGTGATACAATTTCAGTGTACTCTGATTTCTAGTCTTTACTTGAGTAGCTTCTTTAGAAGGTAGACATTGATTTTAGTATCTAACCATCATTTCCTTCTTCCTTCCCTTTCAGTGTGCTGTTGGAACAACAGGCCAGAAGTCTATCTCTAGAGTGATTGAATATTTGGAACATTGCTAGCTGCTTTACCTTTGCTTCAGGTGCTTGGTAATGCTGGAGCTATCCTTAGACAAAGAAAAGTCATGAAAGAAGTCCTTGAAGATATACCAAGAACATTCATCAGTATCATTCGTGTTTGGATTTTTATGACCACCCGATTTCTTCATCATCATGCATTCTGCATTTGCTAAATGACAGTTACTACATCAATCTGCAGCTATCAAAAATGAGGGAAAGGTTCAGGCTGTTAACAGTCCCATGCAGTATTTGAATACACTTACTTGGCAGAGTCTATACCTCCCCTCGGTTCCTTGCTTCTTCTTAGCAAGGTTGAAAGGGGGAACTTGCTGCTGTTAGTGCAACTGCTGTGTATGTGGAGCCACTGTTGTCATGGCAGTCAGGTGCAAAGGCAGCTTAGCTACTGAGGTAGTGAATGTTCGAGGACATTCGAGACAACAGCTTAGTTCCTTTTTCAGGCTCATTTGCTTTTGCTTTTTGTTGAATGATTCCAATCGTAAATAAAGCTTTTAATAATTTTGTGAATTTTTTTTGTTGTTGTTCCCTGAACTACTGTCTATATTTAAAATTAGATGGAATCCAAAGACACAAGGGATTAATAGTATATTTTTTTATTCTTGATTAGGTTTGGGTGTTGAACTATTTTTCACTTCTGAGACCATGACCATATTCAATATCATACCATAACGTGTCATAGCTATAGGCACAAGAAAACAAGTAGCAGTTTGAGGGAATATTATATTATATAAGATAATGTGCCCTGTTAAAGGATTAAGCAAAAATAGACAAACCCAGGGTAGTTTACACTTAATGCTAGAGAGGCTCTTGAAACGTTGTTAAGTTTTGAGAGAACTTCTCTAGATATATTTTCTAATGTTCAGTACAGTAAATATAAGGAAGCTAAAACACCAATGTGGAATTCGTTTTTTCCAGATAGCGTGTATATTCTTCTATAGAGTGACAGGATCAATTGCATAAGCGCAAAGCCTTAAAATTGCTGGTGTAGAGAAGACCCTTTTTATTCAGATTCTTTGTTCATAGAGCAGTTGTTTAGAAAACAGTTGTGGAACACACAGAACATGGTTTATAGGTTCAATTTCATAGGTTTTTTTGTTTGTTTGGTTCAGACCACTGGTTATGTTTTATTGGGTTTTTTTTCCCCCTTTTTAATTGATTGGCCTGAGGACAGGCTTTCCAGAGATGTTTCATTAATACTTTTAATTACCTTTCAGATAGTTACATCATGTTTCTTCATTGGATTTGTAAAACTTGAAGCCATAAAAATATTAGTTTGGTGTGTATTGGGAAAATAGCTAAAAGTCTAATTTTGACTCATTTTAGACTTTGTTATTTCCTTGTATAAAGTAACAAACCGGGGCTCTTGTATCAGTGCCAGCTGTAATGTTTTTAAATGCAGTGGCTGCCTTCTATTGTCTTCCTATTTTTGATAATGCAGATTGTTGGGAAATCTATAAGGAAGTAACTGACTCTAGGCAAATTGTTTTCTTCCTTCTACCCACCCAGCCCCTCCCCATCACTTTTTAAGAACACAGTGTGCCAGTGTAATATGGGAAAGATTGAGATTGTATTTGCCCTGTCTACCAAACTAATTTAGCAAACTTTTTTTTTTAAAGCATACTGGTAAATAATGTCCACAAATTTATTTACATATATTTTAATTATTTTAAAATACATTGATATTTATTAATCATTGGATTTGGGGAACAGATTTTTGGTTGTGGCAGATGGCAAGGAACAGTAAACAGTTGGATGAGATCAATCAGGGCGAATTACATTTTTTCTGTTACACTGGTAATCATTTGATAATTGATTTACCTCAGTGTTTAACAGTTTTTTGTTTTGTTTTGTTTTAAAAATAATAACTAATTGTCAAGCACTGATAGATAGATGCAGGTTTCTGGTGGGGTGGGTTGTGAGGAAGATACACCTGACCGCCTGCAGTGCATTTGTGTGTCTTTAACCCTCGGAGAACTCTCATTTAGGGTACTTGAGGCTGACTTGCAAATTAACTAAAGTTTTAAGGTAACCTTTTTTCCATTGTAAATATTTCTGTAAATACTACCAGTTGGATATTAGAACAGTAGGATACTTTTCTGAATCCAATCCTATTTTTATTTTATACAGTATTTCTCAGCTGTGATCTTTGGAGCAAAAGCCAACGGCAGGAAAAAAATAGTTTGTACCAGTTTCATGAAGTATGTCTTTGGGTTTTTGTAAATAATTTTAACTCAAATAAAATTGCTACTTTAAATACATATGTTGTCTTTAACATAAGTCTATTGACCTGTTTTGGAAGAAAAAGTCGCAGAAACTTGGTAAGGCCAACACTGTCAGTTGAGCATAAGTGTTTCGTTTTCTCAGATAGTTTATTATGTACTTCTAAGTACTGGTCTGAATGGATGTAAACACTTAGTACCTTGGGCTGGCTAGGGGTGGTAGTTTTCTGAGTGTATAGTTAAATCCTTAGCATACTTACTACGTTGCTTTAAATCTTTTAGCTTTTTAATCATAGCTACAAATTTCTTTGCTTTTGAGATTTTTATAGCCACTCTTTAGCTTAAAATTTTTCTTGTCAGCCTTTTAAGATTTTCACATTGCTCAACCTTCCCTTGATTGATTTAGTCACAAAAGTAGATTTCTGGATTTCTCATCCACTCTACACACACACACACACACACACACACACACACACACACACACACACACGACAGCATATAAGAGTGGTCTAAAGATGCAGGTTCTAGACTTGGCACGACCTAAATCACACATGGAATTTGTTTCCCAGCTCTGGCACTTGCTTCTAACTTGAGCAAATTCTTTAAACTATCATTTACTTGGTTTGCTTAATTGAAAAGTGGGAGATAGTACCTACCTCATGGTTGTGAAGATTAAATGTGTGTGAAACATTAGTATACTGTTCTAAATTTAATGTTAGTAAGTGGCAATTTTTTTCTCTTTACTATTTTCACTGTCAAAGTGAAAATGTTCTGAAAATGAAGTAGAATATTTGTGTCAATTAAGGACACTTGTGATGCTGTTTCCTCACATCACTGGAATTGGTGGTTTTGGCTTTTAATGCCAGGCTCTCCAAATTACTATTCCCAAACTTGGTTTTGTTAATCTCTTCTCAGTGACATAAAGCACAGGGAAATCAAACAAACTTTGGGGCTTCCTAAAATGGTTCAGATTTTTTCTTAAATTAGAATGATCCAAAGAGGTTTGAATGACTCACTGTTGGTGGCTTTCTGATGGATATATAGCTAAGTAAGTTCATGTAGAATGTCTTTGAACACAGAATTTGAATAAATTCTCCAGAGTGTTTTGGTCAAACCTCTATTTCTCTGTCTTAACCTCTGTATATGTACAGTTTGAATACTCACAATGCCAATTGCTGGCTTAAGGAACAGAAATAGGAAAACACATTTTCATATTACCAAATATTACATTCTCTTAAGAATCTGCTTCTTGACTAAAATCATTTTTACAGAGAGTATGCCAAAGATGTCCACAAAATCTAGTGGTAATGATAATTTTATTAAATGTAAACACACTAAACACTCAGTTAAAGGCAGATTGTGAGGTACTAAACGAAACTGCACTGTTAGAGGATTTGTTGATTTAGTGTACGGAGTATGCTGTGGTGAAGACACACATCATAATCCTTAGAGCAACCAGCACAAAACCTCCAGATACAGTTGGAGTTTCTAGTATAATCAAGGTGGACTACATGGGAAGCAGAGAAGGAAAAAGAGTAACAAAAAACTAGCAAGAAATACATAACAGGACCATCAGACAGTTGAGGGTAAAGGTGCTTGTCTCCATGCCCTACAACACAGGTTCAATCTCCCACCTGGTGGAAGAAGTGAATTGACTCAATGCAAGTTGTCCTTGGGCTCACAAGTAAATGAAAACAAGACATACAAGACCAAAGAAAAAGAAATAGCAAGTAGTTCTTCCATGCAAGAGGAATGTGCCAATAATATCCACTAAATGTAGTGGTATCGTTAACTTCATTAACTATAGGTATACTAAAAACTCCAGTTAAAGGTAGAGATGGTAAAACTGAACAACCAAGAGACAATTTAAATACAACATGGAAGTTTTAAAAAAAAGATATACCATGCAAATATTAATTAAGTATTGATGTAAGACATACTTTATATTTTGTCTTTTGAGACAAGGTTTCTTTGTAGTTTTGGAGCCTGTCTTGGAACTCTCTGTAGACCAGGCTGGTCTAGAACTCTCAGAGATCACCTGCCTCTGCCTCCCTGTAAGACATACTTTAAGGCAGATAAGTGTTTTATTTTCTCCAAGAACATATTGTAATCGTGAGGCATGGTCCTATACAAGAGAAAACAATGTACCTTTTTTTTTTTTTTTTTTTTTTTTTGGTTTTTCCGGATGGTTCCTCTATGTAGTTTTAGAGTACTTCTAATACTAGAGAAGTTTTGTAAGTATGTGTTAATGAAAACAAGCATACAGGTAGGTGAAGTCACAACCATAGTTTCATATTTTAATACAGCTTAAATTAATAGATTTTTTAAACAATTACATATTTTTTGCATATATGCCTGCATGCTAGAAGAGCGTATCAGATCCCCATTTTAGATGGCTGTGAGCTACCATGTAATTGCTGGAAATTAAACTCAGGACTTCTAGAAGAGCAGCCAGAGCTCTTAACTTCTAAGCCATCTCTCCAGCCAGATTTTTGGTTTTTGTTTGTTTTGTTTGTTTTTAAATATAAACTGGTGGCTGTGACACAAACCTATAATCCTAGCTACTCAGGCCATGTCAGGAGAGTAACATAAGCCTGGGAGTTAGAGGCCTGCTTGGACTATAACATGTCTCAATAAGTATGAAATTAAGTATGAAGCTACAGAAAGTCTGAGTGGATGAATTGCTTTAATCTAATATGATTTTCTATTGCACGTGAAAATTTCACCAAGATAATCTGAGGGCTCATAAAACAGGTTCTGATGTATTTCAAATGACTTACAGAGGATATACATGTAAATCAGCAGTCAAACTTTTATAAACAATATTCAGATATTAAACAATATACTGCCAGGCGGTGGTGGCGCACACTTTTAATCCCAGCACTTAGGCAGAGCCAGGCGGATCTCTGGGTTTGAGACCAGCCTGATCTACAGAGCAAGATCCAGGACAGGCACCAAAACTACACAGAGAAACTCTGTCTCGAAAAACAAAAAACAACAACAAAAAAATATATACTTCAGTGTGACATACGGGGCAGTCAGTGAATCATAAAAACTAATTCCTGGCAATAAAAATACAACATATCAGAGGTATTTTTCCCACATCAAAAACAATACTTAAAATTAAGGATATCATGTAATACAGACCTAAAATGAAAAAGATGAAAGAAAACCCAAAGTAAGTTTTTAAAAAAGAAAAATCAGATCAGACATCAGTTTAATAAAAAAATAAATAAATAAAATTGAAAACCCCAAATTTTTTTAAAGTTAAGCCCTTAGGACTAAACA